CTCATTTGAAAATGCTTTATATATATTTTAACATATCAAATAAGGTGGCTTTTCCATTCAGCTTCTGTTTGCCAACTGGATTACTGAGTTCTTGGTGTAGCCCATTAATAATTAGAGCCAAAAAAGTATAGTCTTATGTATGTTGAAAAAGGTCCTTAAGTAATTCAAGTACTTCTACCTAAACATAATTGATTTAGTTTTAAGTTCTACCTATTATAACAAGAGTTCTTCATCCTCGTTACATGTTTGTAGTGTCAGGGAAGACTTAAAAATTAAGAGGGCCTGGGTCCTTCTCCAGACCTTTAAACTGGAACCCGTGGGTGGGGCTTGAGCATCCACTTTTAAAATGTTTTCCAGTGATTCCAATGTGTAGCTATATTTCCCATCAGATTTCTCTGATTTCTTGTGGCCTTCACTTTTTTTCTATTTTGGTATCATGATTTTTTCAGGTCTCATTTCCTGTCTTAGGCTTTATGTCCCCTGGGGTAGGGACCTTGCCTTCTTCATTTCTGTATCTTTTTGGAACGCGTGAATTGGTCATCAGGGAAAGGTCTCAATCACACATAGGTTTTGTTCTGACTCTCAGGTTCACAGGCTAATCCCAAAGTCTTTTTTCTCCATGAGGTCAGAGATTGTTTGTGATGAAGGGTGTGGTTAAGTCTGTAGTGCAGATGGTGGAGGGGAGTTCACCCTGTTTTTAGGCATAGCATTGGAACTAAGAATTTTATGTCTATATGGATGAAGGGGCAGGGATGTGTAGGAAGACAGTTCCAATTAGGATGGAGGAATTATACTAGGAAGTAGAGGTAAAGGAAGTGAGAAGGATTAGTAAATAGAAGAAATGTGAAGTTACCAAATAGGCTAGAGTAGACCCCTGGAGATTCTTGATTAAGTGAATTAACTAGATTTTAGAAAGGTAATGAGACAGTCATATGCAAGGAAGGTTTCAAAGTCTGGAGACAAGAAGTCAAGCAACACTTCGAGAAGTGGTTGGGTTTTATGGGAATGGAGAGAATTACACTACTGAGAGATGTTAACAAATAATGATGAAGTTTTCACAATGTGAAATTGTGTTTCTCATTTGAATCTGAGAAACAAATGAACAGAGGCTGAAGATAATTATGTCTAAATGACAGTGGGATACAGGGAGCGTAAAGGCCAGGGAGAAAGGGAACTGCAGGAATTATTACCGAGAAGCAGGAGTTTGGTGGAGGAAGGAGGAGATCCAGTCCCAGATACAGGCCAATAAGTCTTTTCCCTCTCCCAAGCATGGCAGTCAGTCCTGCAGGAAATGGGACAAGAGAAAAGACCATCATACCTGCCAGTCTTCCTGAAATACAGAAATGACATCACGGCTGCTATATTGGATTAAAGTCAGGATGGACGTCCTATTCCTGAATGAGCTGTCATGGAAGGAAAAGAAAAAAAGGAATGTAGGTGATGTTATTTTACAGGTGGGAGCCTCAGGAACAAGCATGTAACATGAGATAATCTCTAAGTGTTTCTTCAAGGAATACATTATTTCTGTTGGAAAGTTGATGGGAGATGAGTATATTCTTGCGGGTTTTTTCCCCTCTCACCATGTTTCTAGGTTGGTGATCAGTCCTCTGTCAATTCTCTACTGCACTCAGATATTTCAGAAAGCTTTCAGATGTGAGAAAGGCTGATTGCTATTTTCTATGTCATTAGAACTTTCCACCTTTCCACCTTTCCATGGTTGCATCTTTTTCTCAGTGTCTCTGTGGTGGCATCCATGAATGAGACCCTGCCAGGTGTCCATGGCAGGGACCTGATTGACAGAAGGCCCAGGTCAGTGCATTTCAAATTCACCACCTCCTTTGCACAGAAAGCTTCCTTCCCACAGGCTCCCAGCAAGGGCGTGAAAGCAAGCCTAGTTCTTTCAGGCTCTCTTTAACTCTAATGGGTGACTGGTTGGAGGACTCCCCATCAGCCTTGCAAAAACTCTCTTAGAACTGTATTGATACTTAAAACTTCTTTCTCTTTCTTTTTCACAGGAGTCAGCTTTGCATAGTGGTCTGTAGGTTTTCCCATACTATTTTCATGCCCTCCCCACATTCCCTCACAAGTGTCTTCCCTGATAAATTATCTTATATGTCTAATCTCATAATGGATACATCTCAGTTGGTAAAAAGTAACATACCGGGCTTGATTCTTTGCACTTAGCGTTTTTCCTTTGTCTCCCACAAGTGGTCAGTAACCATGTCCTGGTGTGTTATGTGGTACCTCTTTTTCTATATATACATGGAAATAGGTACTGTTGAGGGGCACGTCCTATATGCCAGGCCCTGTCCTACATACTTTACCTATACTTCATTTAATTCACACAATAACCCTGATGGGTAGACATTATTTCCATTTTGCCGATGAAAAGACAGAAGACAGACCAGAAGTCAGAAAAGATAGAAGCTTAGGGTTGTTTAAAATCTTTCCTGTTGTCGTATGGCTAGTAATAGGTGGATCTGCGATTCAATTCTAGGGCTATTTGACCTTAAGGCTAATGATGATGGTAGTAATATAGCCGCTGACATTGGTTCATCTGTATGTGGCGTCTTGTTTCATTGACTGCTTGAAACCTTAAAAGAATGGTATGATGCAAGCTCTCTCATACTTTAGGATATGAAAGAAGAACAAACTAAACCCAAGCACAGTGAATGAAGGAAACAATAAGGATTAGAGTTGGTAAAAATAAAATGGAGAATGGAAAAAGATAGAGGAAATTTTTGAAACCAAAAGTTGATTCTTCAAAATAAAATCAAAAAAATTGATGACCATTAACTAGACTGACTAAGAAAAAAAGAGAGAAGATTAAAATTACTAAAATCGGAAATGAAAATGGAATCTGAGCATGGGGGGTCGTATTTTAATCCTAGCATTTTGGGAGGTCACAGTGGGAGGATTTATTGAGGCCAGGTGTTTGGACCGGCATAGGTAACCCGGGGAGACCCTCTCTCTACAAAAAAAATTAAAAACCAACTAGCTGGGCATGGTGGCATGCATCTATAGTCCTAGTATCTTGGGAGGCTGAAGAAGGAGAATTGCTTGAGCCTAGGAGGTTGAGGCTGCAGTAAGCCATAATCACACCACTGTATTTCAGCCTGGGCTGGCCTACAGAGTGAGAACCTGTCTCTCTCTCTTCCAAAAACAACAACAACAACAAAAATAAAATAAAAGAAAATGAAGCGATTACTATCAATTCTAATAAAATAATGATTATGAAAGTACTATAAATAATTGTATGCCAATAAACTGGATAACGTAGATGAAATAGACAGATTCCTAGAAAAACACAAATATAGGAATAGAAGTAAAATCAGTAATAAGATTGAATCAATAAAAGCATTTAATGAAATTCAATATTTTTTCATAATAAAAATATTCTAACTAATAATGGAAGGAAACCACCTCAACATAAAGGCAATATGTGAAAAACGCAATGCTAACATCATATGCAATGGAGAAAGACTGAAAAGTTTCCCTGTATGAGCAGGAACAAGACAAGGATGCTGCTTTTGACATTTCTATTCAATGTAGTATTGAAAGGTCTAGTCAGAAAAATTAGGCAAGAATTTAAGAAAAGACATTCAAATTGGAAGAAAGGAGTAAAATTATTTCTGTTCGCAGATAACTTGAAGTTATATGTAGAAAATCCTAAAGATGGAACAAACCTATTAGAACTAATAAATGAATTCAGTAATGTTGCATAATACAAAATCAACATTCAAACATCAGTCGTATTTCAATACACTAACAATGAACAATCTGAAGGGAAATTAAGAAAAAAAATTTAATTTGCATTAATATCAAAAAGAATAAAATATTTAGGAATAAGTTTAACCAAAGAGGTGAAATGATTATACCTGAAATCCATCAAATATTGCTTAATGATGACATCAATAAATTGAAAGACATTTTGTTTTCATGAATTAGAAGACTCAATATTGTCAGGAGGACAATGCTACCCAGAGTGAGCTGCAGATTCAGTACAATTCCTATCAGAATCTCAGTGACATTTTTGCAGTAAAAGAGAAATCTATCCTAAAATTTGTATTGAATCTCATGAGTCTAAATAGAGAAACAACTTTGAAGAGGAAGAATGAAGCTGGAGGGACTCACACTTCCTGATTTCAACATTTACTACAAAGCCTCAGTAACCAATACAGTGTGGTACTAGCATAATGAAAGACATAGAAATTAATGCAATAGAACAGAGAGCCCAGAAAGAAATACTTGCATATATGGCCAAATGATTTTCATCGAGTGTGCCAAGATCGTTCAATGGGGAAAGGACAGCGTTCTCACCATACGATGTTGGGAAAGCTGGATATCCAAGGGCAAGAATGAATGGAACCTTTACCTAACACCATATACCTAACCCACAATGAATCAAAGATCTAAATATAAGAACAAAAACTGTACAATTCTTAGAAGAAAACATAGGAGAAAACTTTAATGATATTGGATTTCACAATGATTTCTTGGTTGTAACAACAAAAGCATAGGCAACAAATAAAATGGATAAATTGGACTTCATAAAAATCAAAACCTTTTATATATCGAAGAACATTATCAAGAGAGTAAAAATGCAACCCATGAAATGAGAAAAATATTTGCAAATTATAAGTGTGAAATTAATTTCCAGAATACATGAGAAACTACAAGTCAAAAACAGCAAACATCCAAAAATCCAATTAAAAAATGAACAAAGGGCCGGGCACGGTGGCTCAAGCCTGTAATCCCAGCACTTTGGGAGGCCGAGATGGGCGGATCACGAGGTCAGGAGATCGAGACCATCCTGGCTAACACAGTGAAACCCCGTCTCTACTAAAAATACAAAAAACTAGCTGGGCGAGGTGGTGGGCATCTGTAGTCCCAGCTACTCCGGAGGCTGAGACAGGAGAATGGCGTAAACCCGAGAGGCAGAGCTTGCAGTGAGCTGAGATCCGGCCACTGCACTCCAGCCTGGGAAAAAAAAAAAAAAAAAAAAAAAAAAATTAACAAAGGATTAAAATAGTTTTCTCCAAGGAAGATATACAAATATCCAATAAGCCCATGCAAAGTTCCTCAGCGTCACGAATACTTAGAGATATGCAAATCAAAACCACAGTGTTACACCACCTCACACACTTTAGGATGGCTTTGATAAACAACAACAATGACAGCAACACAAAACAACAAGTCTTTTCAAATAGGTGGAAAAATTGGAGCTCTAGTACATTGCTGATGAGAATGGGAAGTGTTATAGCCACTGTAAAAAGTGGTGTGGCTGTTTCTCAAGAAATTAAACAATAAATTACCATTTGATCCAGCAATTCCACTTCTGGACATACTCCCTATAGAATTGAAAGAAATTTGAACAAATATTTGCACACTGATATTCAGAGAAGCATTACTCACAATAACCAAAAAATGGAAACAACGGGAAAGTCCATTGAAAGATAAGTGGGTAGGCAAATGAGGTATATCTATACATCGAAAAATGTTATTCAACCTTAAAAAGGAATAAAATTCTAATACATCATGCAAAATGGATGAACCTTGAAGACATTATGCTAACTGAAATAAGCCAGACACAAAAGGATAATTATTATATAATTCCATTTATGAAAGATAGAATAGCCAGTTATGTAGAGACAGAAACTAGCATGGTGGATGCTAACAGTTAGGGGGAGAAGGAGTGAGAGTTACTGTTTATTGGGTACAGAGGTTTAACACGGTAAAAGGAAAAAGTTCTGGAAATGGATAGTGTGATGGTTACACAACACTAAGTTGCACACTTAAAAATAGTTAATGATAAGCCTTATAATAGATATATAAAGTGTCCTGGTAGTCTTACACTCTATAAATACACTTTTTTTGGCATTGCCCCTTTCCTGCCATGCAGAGGCCCAGAGGTGAATCTCTCTATTTCTCCAAGTGTGCATCACTTACTATCCTCTGTGCTGTGTCCCACGTGCTGTGCGCACAGCCTCATACAGCCTGTGACTTCAGAGCCAGGACACAGCTCAAGGGTCTGCCCCAAGGCTCCCTCTCGTCTTGTTTCCCTGCAGCCTTGGCTTATCTTCAACTGGCAGCTCGATTTATCCGAATTCAGGACAGGCCACCAGGGCTCTTTCTCCATACATGCTGGTCCCACCCTAGGTGGAGTCAGGCAGGGCCAGTCACTGGAGACGCCCGGAGCAGAGCAGGGAGCAGTCTGAGCTGCTCCTCTCAGCCAAGGGGCTTCCTCCTCTCATTTGGGGGAAAAATGTGAAAAATTTTGGGGAAAAATGTTTCAAAGCCTCAGATGTTCCTTGTAGCTCATGGAGTAGGTGAAAGAAACAAAGATGTGGCAGAAAGGTATGTGTTGGTGACACTGAGAAGCAACCTGACCTTGAGGACTCTCCTTTATGTCCCTCTGTGAAGCCTCTTCCAACACAGGGCTCAGGGCTGAAAAAGCCCCCTCCCTACTCTTCTTAGACTGGATACAAAGTCAGCCATTAGAAAACAGGGAAACAAGGAGAAGAGAGTCTGTAGAGACAAATTGGGAGGGTTCAAGAGGAGAATTTAGGATTTGCTTCTGCCCATGGGACACAGGCTGGGAATAAAAATGTTTTCCTGACTCTTCTCTGAAAGCCAGATAGGCTCCACCTAAAGCCCTATTGCCAATGATGCAGGGATCCACTTACCTGAGACTCTGATCGTCTCTAATGTGGAACGTTCGCTGCCAGTGGCTGAGTTACGAGCAGAGCAACGATAGAGCCCGCTATGCTTTGTAGTAATTTGGGGGATATAGATCCTTGGTCCTGTTTGCAGAAACGTCCCATTTATCGTCCAAGTATACTCTGCCGGTGGATTAGAGTCCGCGAAGCATGACAAGTAGAGGTTTTGTCCTGAACGGTAGTCGATCAATGAAGGGAAAATCCTGGGGACGTCTGGACCATCTGGAGTAAAGGGAATAAAGCCACAGGTGATGTCATCCAAGGGAAGGGGATGCTCCTGATCTCTTAAATTGACACAGTGTCCCCCTGAGCCAAGACACACCCTCAAGTCCCAGCCAAACCCCTTCTGTGTTCACTGAGACAAGGCCTGAGGTATTCACCAGTTTCTCCCATCACAGGTTGTAGACCCCAAGTCTCCCATGACAAGAGCATCCCTTCCCCTTATATTCTTGGTTGAGGCTGTGCCTACCCAGGTTTTCCCAGGGCAGGGAGTCATGTCCCCCTCGGGTGTCCAGAAATAAAATTGTCTGTACTTGGACCTTAGATAGACTGAGATGTCTGGTCTCTGGTCGTTTGGATTTAAGCTGGTGGCCTGGCCCACAGAGGAAACAAAGATACAGAGGACATCCAGGGTGACTGGTCACTGCAGATGCTACCAACTTGGTCCCATATTTCACATTCATAGGTTCCTGTGCCATTTCTTGTGACATTGGGTACAATGAGGATCCTGTTTTTACCGGGTTGCTTTAGCCTGGGACTGACCGGGAGGCTCTGACCATTTACCCACCACATGTAGGTGTAGCCCTGAGTCTTAGGTTCACAAGTTAAGGCTACAGAATTCTTATTCTCCATGGGGTTGAAGTTTTTGCTGGTGATGTAGGGCTTGGGCAGCTCTGCTGTGTGGACAACAGAGAGAAGATTGTCCGGTGTGGCACCTTTGATTCCTCCACAGGCATCCTTCAATCAGAGTTGGCATCCCCCACCTCTCAGCCCTCCTGGGTCCTTGAAAGTCAACAGCTGGTGCATGTGTCACAAGACAGATGCATGATGATCTAAGGGCTCAAAGACTGTGAGGCCACCTGCTCTGTCTTAGGGAAGCACAGACTTTCTCAAGTGTGAATTGAGGAACAGTGTTGGGTCATGGACAGACACATCAGTGGGAGTCACAGGCCCAGGTACCCCTTCCAGTCCCTCTCTAATCAACTGACCAGCTGGCTCACCTTGGGTTCCTTACCTGGAATGTACAACTGCTGTGCCCCTTCCAAATTCCATCCTACTTTGACCCCTAGATGTGATTTCTCTGCAGTTTCCATTTCCAAGGATATTCTGGAGATGAGTAATAATGGGACTTCCCATTGTCCTGAAATCCTGAAGATACTGAGCAGCCTGGCCTGGGACTGGATGTTTCAGCAGAAATAAGACAGGGGAGACCAGAGTCAAGCCTGGAGGTCAGTTCAGTCATCAGGCAGTGGAGGCACAAGGTGGGGCAGTTTTCTGCAGGTGTTTCATGATGACTTACTTGAGCCAATGACCTCCAAAGATAGAGCAGAGTGCAAGGAGTGATCTAGAAAGAGTGAAGGGGACAGGCAAGAGCTGGTGGCTTGGGAGCAGAACCATGTTCCCTGTTTTGGGTTCTTTAAGTTTCCTCTCCTTCTGCAGAGGACAGGTGAGGACTATGTGGATCTTTCCAGAAACACATGTGGACATTTGCAAATGCAGAACTGACTGGTGGAAAGGGTGGGAATGAACTGCTGGAAATCTAGTACTCATGGATCATGTGTGTTTGATGGATATGAGACAAATTTGGGGAGAAGTTTTGCAAATATTTTCTTTCATTGGACACTCTACTCTCCGATTCCATTTGTTTTACTACTCTAGGGACCTCATGTAAGTGGATTCCAGAGTGAATCTGAGAAGTGACTGCTGGTTGCCAGGAGCTGAGACTGGGGAGAATCAGAAGTTGTTCATGGGTGTGCAATTTGAGTTATGCAAGACGGGGAGGTTCTAGAGATCTGCTGTACAGCTTGATGCCTGCAATTCTCACAAGTTGAGTATTTCTTATGCATAAGACTGAGGACAAAAAGTGTTTTGGATTTCTGACATTTCTTGATTCTGAAATATTTGTCATATAGTTACTGGTTTGGCATCCCAAATCTGAAGGATTCAAAATCTGAAATGCTCCAGTGAACATTTCTTTTCAGCATCAGATTAGTATGCCAAAGTGGGAGGTGATAAGCCAAACAAATTCTTGCCCTTTTTTTTTTTTTTTTCTCTCACCACGTTTCTAGCTTGGTGATTAGTTTTTGGGCAATTCCATATTGGCCATGCTGCACTCGTATATTTTTGAGGGCTTTGGGATGTGAGAGAGGCTGATTGCTATTTTCTATGTCATCAAAAGTTTCCACCTTTTCATGGTTGCATCTTTTTCTCAGTGTCTCTGTCATGGCAGTCATTAATAAGAGTCTGTCAGGTCAGATTTTGGACAGATTTTTGTAATTCTGCAAAAAATGTTACTGGGATTCTGGTAGCGGATGTGTTGAATCTGGAGCTCAATTTGAGTAGTGTTGTCTTACTAACAATATTGATTCTTCCAATTCGCGAGAATGAAATGTCTTTCCATGTATTGATGTCGTCTTTAATTTCTTTCAGTAATGTTTTGTTGTTTTCAGACATTTTTGGTTAAACTTATTCCAAAATATTTTATTCCTTTTGATGTTAATGTGAATGGAAGTTCTTTTCCGAATTTTCTTTCACATTGTTCATTGTTAGTGTATAGTCTAAAGAATGATCTAAAATGAGTGAAGGATACATGCAAAAGCTGGTGGTTTTGGAGCAAAAACATATTCCCTGTCCTGGGATTTTGATTTTCCCTCTCCCTTTGCAGAGGGCAGGTGGCTCTTCTCTGATAGCCAGATAGACTTCACTGGAAAACATATTGCCAATGCTCCAGGGATCCACTTACCAGGGACTATGATCCTCTTGATTATGAAATTTGTTCCACCAGTGGCTGAGTTATGCATGAAAGAGATATAGACCCCTCTATATGTTTTAGTGGTTTGGGGGATAAAGAACACTTGTGCTGATTGCTGGAACTTCCCATCAATCAGCCAAGAATGCTGTGCCAGTGGGTGAGAGTCTGTGAGGCAGGAGAGCTTGGGGAGTTCCACTGTGTGGTAATAGGTGTATGAAGAAGAAATGGTGGGGGCGTCCAGGCCATCTGGAGCAAAGAGAAGAAATCACAGGAGATGTTGTCAGAGGGAAGGGAAAATCCTGGTCTGTGGAAGGGCCACAGTGACCCTGTGAGCTAAGTCACAACACTGAAGTCCCAGCCAAATCCCTGCTGTGTTCGCTGATCTGGAGCCTGAGACATCCACCCATTTCTCCCATCATAAGCTGTGGACCCTGAGTCTCCCATGACAGCAGCAGCCTTTTCTTGTTGTTGATCAAGCCTAAGCCTACTCTTAGTACTCATGGCCAGCTTTGATGTCCAGGAGTAAAAGTGTCTGTATTGGACCTGAGAGGGACTGGGAGGCCTGGCCTCTGGCCATGTGTATTTGGGATGGCAGCCTGGCTCACAGAGGAACAGAAGATACTCACAGAGGAGATTCAGGGTGACTGGGTCACTGCGGCTGGCACTCACTGGATTCTTCATTTCACATTCATAGGGTCCTGTAGTATCCTTTGTGACAACAAATAGAGTGAGGGTCCTGTTGTTTTTGGACAGCTGCAACGTGCGACTGATACGGAGGCTCTGACCATTTATCCGCCACCGGTAGCTTGCGTCCTGAGTGTCAGGATCACAGGATAAGATCACAGTCTCCACAGCCTCCCTGGGGTTTAAGTTGCTGCTGGAGATGGAGGGCTTGGGAGTCTCCTCTGTGCAGATAACAGAGAGAAGATTGCCCTGTGTTGCGCCTTTGATGTCTCCAAAGACATACAGGGATGGCCTTTCCCAACTCTCAGCCCACAGAAGTCCTTAAAAGCCCATGGCAGTTGTGTGTGTTACAAGACGGATGGCAATATGAGGGCTCAGAGATTGTGAGGCTGCCTGCTTTATGTGGGAGAAACACAGACTTTCTCAAGTGTGAATTGAGCAGCAGCATTGGGTCATGGAAAGACATGGGACCAGCAGTCACAGCCCCTGGTGCCTCTGTGAGTCCCTCCCTCTCCAACTGCCTGTCTGGCTCACCTTGTGTTCCTCACCTGGAGCATGCAGTACTGGAATCGTCTTAGTTTCAGTCTTACTTTGCCCCCCAAGGTATGTTTTCTCTGCAGCTTCCCTTTCCAAGGATATCCTAGATATAGATGATGGAACTTCCCATTGCCCTTAAACCCTTTGTGTACTCATTCTTGGACGTAGGCTAGGCTAACCATGGGAGGAATTTAGTGTATGGTTTAACTTTGAAGCAAGAATAATAGTTTCTCCCTAAAACTAATACCCTTATTTTGCCCAGGGATTGCCTTTGTAAAACTGGTGAAGACCATGAGAGTAAGATTATAGGAGGGAACTGAATTCTGCTAAAATGTAGGCACAGGTTCTATAATCCCTTACTTCTCAAATGTTATTTGGTCAGAGTTTACAAAATTTGTAACTAATTGCTGCTCTAGATAACATCACTATTGTAGAACCTGAGATTGGTCTTTTGAGATGTTTCTCATTCTTTGCATTCTGGCAACCCACTGATCTCATCCATACCCATGACTAAAGGCTCTGCCAGTCATGTGGTCCCCACCTAGAGATGGATTCAAGCGCAAACAGATCATTTCCCTCCGCCCGCATGATTCCATCCGCAAACAATCAGCAGTACCCATTTTTTACTCCTGTGTCCCTGAAACGATCCTTGAAAATCTCTAACCCCTGATCCACTAGGGAGGCTGATTTGAGTAATAATAAACCTCTGTCGTCCTGTTTGGCAGACTTGGAGTCATTAAAACCTTCATTTACTGCAAATCACCGTCGGGATCAATTGGTTTTGTTTGTGCAGGAGGCCAGAAAAACTTGTCTGGGAATTATAAGAGTGGATGGAGGAGTTGTCTATCCCTGTCCCACGGTTTTGTCCACAGAACAACCTCACAAAGGGACAGAGCTCTGGATGGGGATACAGTGGAAGCTTATTCTCTTAGGGACCTGGGGACATTAGCTCAAGATGAAGCCTGGCAGGAGTAGCAACTCCAGGTGATTTCTGCGCATTTCCCATTTCCTGGGATGTGGGCCATTCCACAGTGTTAGCAGGAAGGGAATAGAACAGTCAGCCTAGTTAGAGGGAGTGTCTGGGGAAGAGCTAGGAGTGGTGGAAGAAGCTGTGCAGGGCAGGGCTTGCCAGTTAGAATGAAGTGGGAGGAAGATGAGGGACACAGAGAAGTAGAGAGAGGTAGAGACAGCATGGCAGTGAACAGTGGGGGCTACAGTGACTTCAGAGACCCCAGGGACTAGGTGTCCCCATTTCCACAGTCCAGGACTAGGGAGCCCTGAAAACCTTCCAGTGCCCAAGGAACTTCAGAGTTACATGAGGTGGGGTGTCTTTAATGGCAAGAGTTAGTGGGGGGATGAAACATGGGCGTCAGCCTCTGAAGGAAAAGGGACAGGTGTGGCTAGAACCTCTTAGGATTCTACATGTGAGATCCAGTCTCTAAAGAGGTTATGAATCACTCATTTCTTCATTCAATTCCTTCATTTGTTATGTGAGAGCACCTGAGTGTGTGTCTCTCACTGGACTTGAGCTGGTGCAGGGCATGAGTGGGAAAGAATACAAGCTCCTCTCCTTTATCTTGTCATGCCAGTGACATGGACACTTTGGGAAACACAGGATTTCAGGTCCAGTGATAGGGCTGAAGATCTGAGGGGGAGGCCTGGACATTTTTTGCACTGACTCTGACAGTTCAGGCAGGTGATTTAGTTTTGGAGAACAGACTAATCAGCTGACCATTTGCTCTCACTCCTCTGATGTTTGGATGCCTAAGAAGAGAGGATTTGAGTCAATAAATGACTATGGGGTCCTCGAAACCCAATAAGCCCTCACTTCTGGTGGAGGAGAGGATGGGCCTGTGGCTGCAGACAGACCTCATGTGACCCTGATCTGCCTTTTGTGTTTGTGTGACTCTGGTTCAGTGACTGTGCCTTCCTGTGCCTCAGTTTTCTCTCAGTCAAATAAGCTAAATGGCAAATGGACTGTGACTTTTTGTGCTATCTGTGAATAGATTGTAAATTCTTCACAGTCACCTGACCTAATGCTTGGCACAGTGGAGGTGTTCACACAAACAGCATTTATTATCATTCACTTCCATGAGAGAGCACCTTTAGGTCAGATCCCTGTGGACAAGCTGCTGCCAGGTACATTTTCTCTCTTCTGTTTCTGCTTCTGGGGACATTAGAGTTTCTATGGAGTGTCCTAAGCCTCACAAGGCAGTTGGCTAATGGTCTACAAAGCTTGTCTTTCTGTCCTCTCCACTCTGAGTGTCAGGTGAAGAAAGCTCTGTCCTTGCCTAGATGAGGCTCTGAGGGCTGAGCCCTGGCTGGTGAGCAGCTCCAGGAGACAAAGTCCTCAGACAGCTGGTAAATCCTTGGTCCCAGTAAGCCCTGCCACAACCCAGCCATGGCACAGGCTCCTCAGCTTTATCTGGAGTAAGGATTTAGGGACAGGGGTCTGGGATTGAGGCTTCTAGGACTGAGCTTCTCTGAGAGTATCTCAAGGGGCCTCTTAGGCAAAGCCCTGCTCAGTTCTCCAGGGTCTTTCTCAGGGTCAAGTTTATGAAAAGGACATGAGGTGCTTGGCTGAGACTGATCTCCTCGTGCTGAGCACCCCCCCCCCCCCATCAGACTGTCCTTGCTGTGCAGCAAGTGTCTGCAGGGTCCGGAGACAGGAAAGGAATTCTGATCTGCTGAAGTTTGTCTCCTCTGTGTGTATCCTGCACTAAATGCCAAAACCCCAACATGGGACATAATGCAGAGTGGGACACAGCCACAGTCTAGGCCTGACAGTCCTGTGTGTGCAAAGTAGAAGTGACCCCGCACCCCCACACCGAGGGATCATATGGAATCACTCACGGTATAAGGTGTAATGTCCAGTTACTCCTTCAGTCCTATCACCTCGCTGTATGATTTCTATGGTGTAGGATCCTGTGTCCTTCCGGGTGACATTCTGGATCAGCAGGGATGCATTGGAATATACTGTTTCTCGTCCACTGTATGCAGGCCCAAATATAATTGTTTCAGTGTCTATCACATATGATGTAATGTAAAGGTGGTGGTCCGTTTTTTGCCCTTTGTACCAGATGTAGCCAGTAAGATTCTGGGGCAAATTGTGGACAAGTAGAAGAACATCCTTCCCCTCGGAAACTTTGGCTGGCTGGGCTTCAATTGTGACTTGAGCAGTGGTGGGTGGGTTCCAGAAGATTAAAAGTGATGCTAGTAGGTGGAGAGAGCATCAGTCAATATTGAGACCTATGTATGGGGGTGAAAGCATTGAGCCCTGGGTCCTGAGAAGATCTCTTCAATCATCAGCCTTGAAGATACACACACACCCCAGTAGGACAGTAGGACACACACACACCCCTTTGTGTCTGTGTGTGTGTTTGTGTGTGTGTGTGTTTGTGTGTATGTGTGTGTTTGTGTGTGTGTGTGTCCTACTATCCTACTGGGTGAAAGTCAGCAACATGACCCCCATTCCTTCAACCCTTCTGACCTTGGCGTTTTTTTGTTTGGAATCCTCTTCCCCAGGGATCTTCACGGCTCCCTCCACAACACCCTCAGGTCCTGCTCACATCAGGGCATCCTTAGACTTCTTTCCTGACACCTCCTTCAGAGACCCTGGGTCTTCCCTTTCTGACCTTTCCCTGCTCTGCTCCCTCCGGAGCTCTTATCAACACCTGACCTCACATTCTAGATCTCTTTGCATGTCTGTCTTCCTTCCCATGACAGTGTGAGCTCCATGAGGACAGGGACTTTTATGATCTTGGTTGCACCCCAGTGCCTGGGACAGGCTGCAGACTTTTGTAGATGTGAGAGTTCCCAGGGCCCTCCATGCCTGGGTTGTTTCTTTTATTCTTTCCCCAATTGTTGAGGTTTTTTGCTGAGGACAGTGTTTAATGCCCTGCTTATATTTTCATTTGAAGTGTCATCTGATAATAGTTATTATCATTTTACAAAATGTGGTGTCCAGTGCTGATTAACCCGGAAAACAGAACACTTGAGATTTTCCTACCTCTTACCAATTCTGGTTCAATGTGATTTTCCTGTTTTGACCCATGTCCCTCTCTGGTGTATTTTCCCCTATCCAGGCTCCAACAGAGCCTTCTTTCTTGTTTTTTGTTTTTTCTTTCTTTCTTTCTTTCTTTTTTGAGACGGAATCTCGTACTCTCTCCCAGGGTGACATGCAGTGGCACCATCTCGGCTCACTGCCACCTCTGCCTCCCAGGGTCATGCAAACCTCGTGCCTCAGCCTCCCGAGCAGCTAGGATTACAGGAGCACATCACCACACCTGGTTAACTTTTTTGTATTTTTAGTAGAGATGGGGCTTCACTGTGTTGACCAGACTGGTCTTGAACCACTGAACTCATGATCCGCCCACCTCAGCCTCCCAAAGTGTTGCCTTCTTTTATTTCTTAGAACCCCATCCCCTCCAGGAAACCCCATCCAATCATTCTGCTTCCTCCTCCTGTCCTCTCCCAGGAAGTTCTCTCCTCACCTGTGAGCAGGAGCTCCTTCCAGGTGATGTGCAGTGTGCAGGGAGGGGCTGAGAGGGGCCCCATGGCCTGTGCTGCCTGCGTGTTCTTCTCTGTGGAGATAAGCCTGGGATCCAGAAACTTTCTGAGCACGGCTGTCAGCTGTGCTGTCCTTCCTCCTTCTGTGCTGAACCTCTTCCCGGGGCAGGAGCACTTCTCAGGCTCATGGGCAGGGTCTGTGCCCAGGACACCTCTCTGTTCCCTCCCCTCTCAGTCCTGCCTCCTTGTCCCTCCTTCTCTTTTTCCTTTTGTCTGTGTGTCAGGTCCCTGGGAACTGTGGAGGCCTCTGTCTTTTTCAGCAGTGATTCTGTCACCATACCTCAACACACACTGTGTGCAGAAACATAAACACACACACAAAAGAGACACACGCAGACACACACATACCCTGTATGTTGGAGCACAGTTCTGGGCCTCAGCCTCCTGCTGTCCCCATGGGTCTGGGTCTGGATGCACATTTGCACCCTTTGCCCTCTTGCTGGAGCTGCACCAGGTCCCTGTCACAGGGACACCCCATTGTGCTGTAGGTGAGTTGTGTGTCGCCTGGTGACAGGAACCCTTCCTTTCTTTAATTGTGTCTAGCTTGGCTGCAGCTTCCAAGGATAGACATTCTGGACCTGGGTGTCCCAGAGGAAACTATGCTTCCTGGAGCTGTGCAGGATGAATCTCTCATGTCTCTTGGGAGGAGAGGCCTGTGGTGGTTGCTCAGTGGGGGCTGTGAGTCCCATGGTCAAAGGGACGGTTCTCAGTCACTCTATTGCTCCCTGGGGTCTGGTGGCTGAGCTGGGGCTCAGGGTTTCTCGTTTGTTCCTGACCATCCTTGGTGTCCTCTCTTCTCTGTCCAGCTGATTGTCCTGTGATTACCACACCTTCCCCATGGTGGTGCAGGAGGAAGTGGGGAGTTACCCAGGAACCCCGTGGAACATGGCTCGTTGAGATGCAAGAAGGGGAGCCTGGGACAGAGCAGGGCTTCAGAACTGGAGAGATTCATCCCGACTTACTCCGTGGTCGTGATGGGCTCAGCCCTCCATGTGCTGACATACCCAGGGGTCTGTACTGAGGGTTTTGACCTGGCCGAGCTGCTCTCTGTAGGGAGGAACAGGCAGTCGCCAGAGAGCCTGTCTGGAGGGACGTTGCCCACCCCTGAGAGGGCGGGTGGGGGTGAGTTGTGTTCTGGGAGCAAATAGCAATAATACCCCCCTTCTCCCGGCAAGGACACAGGAGAGGTCTGTCTTCCCAAGGGATAGCCGGGTGTAGGTGACCACGTCCTGGATGGTGCCTGTGTGTGACCATCCAGGCGCTCTGAGCCCCACAGGGTACAGCGGGCAGACAGGTCACAGGGTTCCTGACTGATTCCCGGGGAGGCTGTAGACCCTCAGGCAGCCGCTGTTCTGTGTCAGCGCTAGGCTTGGCCTGGGATGCCCCAGAAAACAGGACAGATGGAGTAGGGGCGGGCATTTAGTGAGCAGTGACAGAAAGAGTTGATTAGGATGGAGGGAGGTTACGAGGGGAGAGCGCCCAGTATGGCGTCGCGTGCACCATCGCTGCCCTGGGAGATGTCTTTTTAGCTGATCCCAGGGAAGGAGCAGGTGTGTGGGTCAGGAGCTGCCTGCAGAGGGAGTGGTGTCACGTTGGAGGCCTCCAGGTCAGGGAGGAGCTGACAGAGTCCGTGTGGGGAGCATGGAGGGCCCTGAGGACTTGGGCCGAGGTGACCCTGGTGAGGGTGCCTTTGGGTTTTGCTTTGGGTTGTGCTAAGGGAGGTCTGCATCCCCTGGGATCCAGGCTGGGAGGGACTCCGCCGCCCTCTGGTGGACAGCAAGGGAAGTGTGGGTGGCCCTTGTCCCAGGCCAGGCGGCGTGTTTTATTCCTCAAGGATCTGCACATTTCACATGAGGTCACCCATATGTTATGTTGCAGCTCCATCACATTCCAGCCCCGTGAGTGCCGGTCTCTGCGGTTCTACATTCGCTGTTCTCCCGTTTTCACAATCGGATGTCCCAAACGCAGATTTTTGTCACCTTCTGTGAGTTTGTGTTTCTAGGCGGCACTGTGTATACCCTGGGGGCAGTGATATCTGGGGCTGAGCACTGCACATGGGCTTGGGAGCAGAAGAGGGAGCAGCAGGGTGGGAGGATCAATGCCAGAGGAGCAGGGACAAGTCATTTTCATTTTCTCATTCCCAGGGACCAGAAACCAGGATTCTGACTCCAGGGCACAGTACCACACCCGCTGGTGTCCCTGGATGTCATGAGTGTTCATAGTGTCATGTTACCTTGACATTCATTTTTTAAGGTGTAAGTTTTTTTGCCTCACATCAGAGTCAGGTCTTGGTCACCATGGCAGTTTTCAATACTGTATCTGTTTCAAGCGACTCCAGTTTGTGGCCAGAGATAAAATCTTAGAGGCATCTCTCCTGCTTGGTGTTCTGGGCTCCCCTCTCTCCAGCTGCTTTCTTTAAACGGATAATTCTGACATTTGCCCTCACATTTAAAGTGACCACTTGTCAGTCACAGCATGATCTCCTGGTCCCAGTGTTTGCTCTCCTGGTCCCAGTGTTTGACATCTGTGGTCTCAAGGTGTGCCGAGTGCTCCCCAGTGTCTGTAAGTAGTAAAATCACTTACATTTTCACGTTGTGGTTGTATCACTATAGCCTCACATGCCATCCAGGGCCTGACATCGAGGCTGCCCTATGGGACCTGTGCTGGTTGAGCCTCTGCTGGAGCTCTTGTTTTGGTACCTCTGGTTCTGCTGGGGACAGGAGCTTCCAGTTAACTTGATTGAAAATGTGATACGATTCATTGAAAACACTGGGTCAGATGATGTATTCATAGGCTTCAACTGCCATAACAAACACCTTAGCCTGGGTGAATTAAGTAATAGAAATAGATTTTTCACAGTTCTGTGAATAATGTGGAATTTTAATCACTTTAAAATGTGCAGTCAAGTGGAATTAGCCACATACACAGTGTTCAGTTGCCATCACCACTGTTTTTCCTAGAAAAATTTTTATCATTGTAAACTGAAACTTTGTATCTTTTGAACAATAATAACTCCCTGTATTTTCCACCCTAGACTTTGATCACCTCTACTCTGTCTCTATGAATTTGCCTATTCTTGATGTTTCATAGAAATGGAATTATATATATATGTTATTTTGTTTCTGATATGTTTCACTTTGTATAATATTTCCAAAGTCCATGCGTGTTCCAGTGGATGTCAGAGCTTCATTCCTCTTTATGGCAGATTAACATTTGGTTGTATGTGTGACCACATCTGTTTATTCATGTGTTAATGAACACTTGGATTGTTTTCATATTTTATCTTTTGTGAGTATTGTTGCAATCAACATTCCCATGTAAGTACCTGTTTGAGTCCCTGGATTCAATTCTTTGGGTACATATCCAGGAAAGGATGCTGTTTCACATGAGAATTCTATGATTAGCTTCTTGAGGAATAGCACAACTGTTTCTCCCGGTGGCTGTACCTTTTTATAATCTCACCAGCAATGTATGAGGATTCCAAGTTCTGCATAAGGCTTTCACTTCTTATTTAACATTTTAAAAGAATGGTAGCCATATTTGTAGGTGTAGTGTGGTGTCTCACTGTGGCATTGAATTTGTATTTTCCTAATGAGTAATGATATTGAGTTTCTTTTCATGTCCCTCTTGATGATTTGCATATCTTCTTTGAAGAAATGTCTATTTGAGTCCTTTGCCCATTTATATAAATTGGGTGGTTTGTCTTTGTGTTTTTGAGTTGTAGCCGTTCTTTATATATTCTGGGCATGAAACCATTGTCTGAGTGATTTGCAACTATTATATCTCATTCTGTGTTTGGTCTTTTTATTTTCTTGATAATATCCTTTGATGCACAAAAGGCTTGCGTCTTTAGCTGAATTTATCTATTTTTCCTTTTTGTTTTTCAGGCATTTGGGTCATACCTGAGAATCCATTGCACATTTGAGGTCATTAAGTTTTACCCCTATGTCTTTTTCTAAGATGTTTTTATGGTTATAGATCTTATAATTAACTCACTGATCCATTTTTAGATAATTGTTTGATATGGTTGTAAGTATAGTTCTCTAAGTTTATTGTTTTACATGTGGTTATCTAGTTCTTTCTGCACCGTTATTGGAGAGGATGATTGTTCCTCTATTAAGTTATCTCGACACCCTTATGCAAGAGCAATGAACTATAAGGGTGAGGGTTTATTTCTGGACTCTCAATTCTATCCCTTTGGTCCCTATTTTTGTTCTTATTCCAGCAGCTTCTGTTTTTAGTAGTTGTAATGTCTTGTGAGATTTCAAATAAGAAAGTTCAAGTTCTGCAATTTATTTTGGCAAAATTGTTTTGGCTATTTCAAGGGTACTTTTTTGAAAAGCAAGGAGGCCAATGTTTTCCAATTGGAAAGTCTTTTCTGTCTTCTTTGGAGGGAAATTTTGCAGCGTAGGGATGTTTTCAGGAACTTTATCAAAGTAGGTAAATTATCACCACTTCCATTGCTGAGGTACTGTGTTAAAATGTGTGTTGCCTCCCGTTGAGGAATTGAGAGACCCTGAAAGCACTTGCCTATGTGGTGAGGGACAGTGAGCTCCTTCATGAGGGGCACAGAAGACATTGCTTTGGGACACAATGTTGTCAGGGAAGCTGTGTGCATCTCTACTTCTTTATTTTTTTGTACAGGTTGCATCTCTGCTGGACATACTAGATATTGAAATCTTTGTTCATTCTCTTGGTTCTGGGTTGGCTGACATGTCAGCTGGAGCTGGAGGACATGCCTGGCAGGGGAGTGACTCCCATGGGAAAGAGCAGGGCTCAGCAGAGTGAAAGCAGCTGGGACCCAGAGAAGCCAGGGAGGTCTGACTCTTAGAAGCCAAAGACCAGCAGGTGGGTATCCTCAGGGCAAATGGACTGCACTGGTAACCATTGCTGTGAACTGGAAAATGGTAAGAGGCTTTGGATATTCCATTTTCTTTCTCAGCTCTTCAGCAGAAGATTTGGGCCCTGGGCTGGTACTGTCCTGCAGCAGGAACAGGGTAGACAG